TTTGCTTCCAACCGCAGTCTTCACCAGACGAGACCACAAGAGATAGTTACCTCCTTTGAGGTTAACCGGAACCTTTATGTTCATGTGCATACCCATACTTCCTTCCATCTAGTAGCTTGACTTGAAAAGCTTACTAAAGTTGAGATCTTGTTACCACACAAACACCCGTAGCTAAAGTCTTCACCTTTAGCTTCAAACCTTCAGTGAGAAGTAGATTCAAGACCGCACAAAGTCTTGAAAAGAACAAAACCTTCAAACGAACCAACTAGAGAAGAAAAGAACCCACAAGAGAATCTCTCCTCTCAAGAACACGAGCTCAGATCTCTTTCAACCTGGCTCTGATACCATAATGTTTTTATTAATCTGAGTGTATAGAAGATGAAAGAAGAGATTTTAAGACTAGAGTAAGAGTTTGAGAGAGATTTAGACTTAGAAATGAGAGAGAGATCGAGTAAAGAGAGAATAGTTGTGTAGAGAGAGTAAAAGTTTCAAGAGTCTTAATCATTCATTCAGCTGAGTCTTACAATATATATACAAGAGAGAACAAGGGTTTTCATGCTATAGTAATGTTGAATACTCGTGAGAACAAGGGTTTTCATGCTATAGTAATGTTGAGTCTTACAATATATATACAAGAGAGAACAAGGGTTTTCATGCTATAGTAATGTTGAATACTCGTGTGAAGTCAACAAGGAAGAGGCGCCTTCATTTTGAATGCTTGGACCGGAGTGAATACACGCGTGGAGCATAAGGCATCTTTGGACTAGATGCCTTTGCCTTTCCAGCTGTAAAGTCACTCCCTCCTTATCTCTAAACGGTCATTTCCTTTAGCCAAAGCCTCTTCTTCATCCAGCAGTATCCGGATCACTCTTTTCCTTGCTACACAAGTTTCATGATCCCACTTCAACTTATTCTTAAGTGTACGGACCAATGCTTGTCCGTACACCTCACACAAGCACAACATTACTTCACCAATGATCAACTCCTTTCCCTCTCTCATATATTAAGACCACTAAACTCAACAGGTTCTAGATGGCTGGGGACCTCCACTCCACTTCAACTCCTCTTCTAGCTCTGGTGAGGCAATGGACGACTTGAACCATCAGGAATGATGCTTACCATTACCCCTCCTCAAGCTTGATCCGGAGAAAATGAGTGAAGGACCAAGCTTGGAAGTGAGCAACATTGAGTCTTGAAACCAGGAGCGCATCACCCTAACAGCTGCGCTTAAGCCAACCGGTTCCTCCCTTGATCTCTTCTCCACTACCTCTTATAAATCTTTTGAACCAGGAGCTCAACAACCAAACGGTATGCGCTTAAGTCAACCGGTTCTTGCAATTCATGAGGAGATTCAGCCTGGTGGATGGCTAATCAACCACTGGTCTGCCTCTCCATCAATACTCCTTCCTGAAGTATCTTTAAAGTTCAGTCGTATTCTATCTCAGCCATGACTTATTACCATCTGGACTCCTCATACAAACAATCACTCCATGGTCAGGAATATACACACTGTGTAGGCTCTGGATCATACAGGAATGTACAAATGTGTAGGCTCTGAACAACATAGATAAAGTCTTCTTCTTTGTGTTGATTTGATGATGGATAGAGAACAACACTTGTGTACCTGAAACATCACTCAAATTCCAGCAAGAATCAGACCACACACACTAGGATCAGACCTTGGTAACTCACCAATCGTGATCCCAATGTTTTAAGAAAAATGCAATAGATAGACTAAACAACTCATTCAGTTCAAATCTATGCAAACTTTCACTAAATGATCAGATATGATAACTCATCAATTACATGCATTTAGGCTATTTTAATGACCATTTAAGTAACAACATGATTAATTGACAGTCAAAACATGGATTAGATCATCTAATCATCCTAAGCAGTTCATGAATGCATCACAAGACCATAAAAAATAAATGGATGCAAACAACAGAAGAAACAACATATAGATGCATTACAAGACAAGGAAACTCTCCTAAACTTCTAGCAATGCAACAAAACACAAAACATGTTTTAGACAATTTGCCTAGACCTTACAGAACTCAAATAATTGACCTAAACAACTAACTAGTCATAACCATCTAACAAACTTAGAAATAATTTAAAAACAGAATCAACAAACACAACTTAAGTATCTTGAGACAAAAACTAGGTTCAACAACTCTAGCAACTTGAACATGTCCCAAGAATACTAAGCACACCACTCAACCATAATCATTATCCCAAACTCATATCAAGGAGGAGAGGTTTAACTTACAACCAAGGAACCTGAGTTGGTTCCTTGAACCTCCAATACACATGGGTCATGACAGTTTGTTGGAAACTGAGATGTTGAGTTGAACTCCAACTCGCTCTCTCTTTAAGTACATGACCTTTTTCTTGTATCCATCACACCAAAGTCGCCTCCTTTCTTCATGCTTGAGAGTCACCACCTTCTTGGAAGCTCTCTTCTTGGATAGAGAAAGAGAACCACTTGTACAAGGTAGTTTTGAAGCTTTGCTAGGCAAAGGAATCCATAAACTTTTGCTTTCAAGTGATTTCTTCACCATATTTAATAGAGGAAAGGAGACTGGAAACTTTGAAAAACAATGGACCACTGGATAAAAGAGTGTGCTTAACAATCTTCAAGACAAATGAGTGGTAGACTGAACTGGATGAGCTTGATGAGGGTTCTTGAGGTTTAGAGCCTTGTATACACCTTGCCTTAGAGCTGGTTGAGGGTTCTTCCTTCTTGGAAACCTTTGGACCGCTCGACAAAATGTTGTACCAGACTCAGATGAAGATGAACAGAGAATGAACTAGATTTGCGGAAGCATTTGAGAGGTTCAGGAGCTTAAAGCTCTGATACCATGTAAGAAAAGATAGTTTAAGATATGAGAGTAAAGGAGAAACAGAGAATGTGAGAGTAAATTGACAATGAAGAACAGAGTAAACAGAGAGAGTATGAGATTGTAAGAGATTAGAGAGATTGAAAGTAGCAAGAGAGAATAGAGAATGGTGAAGAAGAAAGGGGAAATGGTGAGCATCATTCCTGAAGGTTCAAGTCGTGCATTGCCTCACCAGAGCTAGAAGTGGAGTTAAAGTGTAGTGGAGGTCCCCAGCCATCTAGAACCCACTACAAAGAAACATCAACAAGGACAGCAACAACTTGGTGTTAGAACAGATGGCCATCAGATACTACTTGACAAGAAGATCATGTGGAGCTGATTGGAATGCTATGGATCAGCCCAAGGCGTGGTGTTAGAACAGTTACGTTCTTGTTGGGAAGCTATGGATCAGCTTCTACAAGGAGTTAGAACAGTTACCTTCAGTGGGGAAGCTATGTATCTGCCCATAGCATGTGCGCTTGTACGTGGTTGATGAAGCTTGTGGCCTCAAGGAATTGTTGATCATCATTGGCTCTCACCTTCCAAGCTTGACCACATACTCTCATTCTCAGGTCAAACTTGAGAAAGGGTGTTAAATATGAAAAGCCAATGTCCATTCTTCAGAAACTTATGCAAAGTACTTGGAGCTCATGACAAGAGTCTGGTCGTGGATCAAACTCTTTGATGATGGCAAGATGTTAGAAGAAAGGGGGAGACAAGGAACCAGCCACATGAAGAGTTTCAAGAACTTTTGAGTGTGAAGCAACGAAGGCGTTGGTGCCTGCTTGCCATTGAAGTAAAGCCATGATCCAGAGTCTAAGGACTCCACCATGATCTATCTGAGTTCCTTAGACTCACTGGACAATCCCTACGCTGAGAGGCTTGTACTCTTTTCGTAAGTGTGGTTTTATCCCAAAGGGTTTTCTATGCTTAGGTTTTTAATGAGGCAAGTACTCTCATTTCCAAGCTTGCCCAAGGATCTCCTATGGTCAAGCTTGAGGGAGAATGTTGAATGAAGAAGGGAATGACCAGAAGAAGAGCTGGTTCATGACTCAAGTATTGACAAGAGGAATAAAAGAGACAAGAAGACTTGAGAATCTTTTCACCACAATTGAGAGGTTGTACACCAGACTTGAGAATCTGTTCACCAGACTTGAGAGGTTGTACACTAGACTTAAAGACTTGAGGAAGACTTGAGGAAGATTTGAGGAAGACTTGAGGATTGCAGAAGTGATATGTAGACGTTGGAGACTTTTGGGACAGCAAGTGGGGATTAAAATAACATGTTGGAGAGAAGGGAGATGGCTGTTAGGATCTTTCACTATCACATTGAAAGCTCTTCTTCATCTCAGCCATTCAATTCAAATTAATTCAGATCCCCACATCTCAACCATTTATTTTGAATCCAGATCTATCTCTCTTTGTCTTCTTCTCATTTGTCTAGTGTGTGGTGGCTATAAAGAGCCCTTACTGTAATCAATTATAATCTAAGCTGGAAGAGGGGAGTTCTCCTTTTTTCTTCACCATTCACCATTGACCATTCTCTATTCTCTCTTGCTACTTTCAATCTCTCTAATCTCTTACAATCTCATATTCTCTCTGTTTACCCTCTTCATTGTCAATTTACTCTCATATTCTCTGTTTCTCCTTTACTCTCATATCTTAAACTATCTTTTCTTACACAAATAATGTTACAAGTTATACATTATGCTTAAACTGTACGTAGACATATAAGCTCTATATATAGGATACATGCATATGATTATACGATTTGTATGTTTGTGTGACCTTCATCAACAGGTATAGACGATGACCTTCTAAAGGGTTTGTATGGCTAAGGTTAAACTTCTTTTCATCTAGGAAGTGCTGATAAACGAATGAAATGAAGCCCCAAATAGCCAAAATAATGGAGAAGATCTTCGACGTATTCATCTTATCCTTGAAAACTATCACTGCCACAACAGGAACAATAGGAAGTCCCACAGCAGTTATGGAATTAGAGAACACAGAAGACGACTCAAAGATCAATCCCACCACACCAATGGTGTAGACTTGCCATGAAATAGCTAGGCCAAAGTCAAAACATATGGTGCTTTCCCAAGTTTGTAGCTCTCCATCTCACTTGTCAAAGTTTCCCACTCCCCACTTGCAAAAAAGTCCTATGAGAACCACACAGCTTGCAACTAGAGATTGATAAGCGACCAAGTCCATAACCGTTGAGACTGTATGGTTCTTTAAGACTTTCCTGAGGATCAGTTGTACCAGAGATAGAAGCAGTCCAATACCAGCAGAAGCACTAATTGTGCATATGATCCCTATCACATACTTTACTCTAGAAACATTTGATGTGCTTTGTGACGCATCAGTGTTGACAACAAGGAGAGCAGAGGAGATAGTAAGGAGAAACAAGGAGTTGATGATGAAAGGTGTGAACTTCTGAGAGTTTAGGAAGTATGAGAAGAAGGCAGTGAAGGCTAGTTGTGATGCTAAGATGAGGGAGAAAGTTGAAACTGGTAAGTAGAGCAACCCAACAGAAGACATGTAAGAGTTAGTAGACACTATTAGACCAGTGACAATGTAAACTGATCCAAGGGTGATGAAGGATGGGAACTGTCTAAAGCTTGTATCTGTTGATTTTGGTATCTTGATTTTCGAAAAGAAGCGGAAGAGAAACAGAACAGGGAAGCCTATTAGTTGGACAAGTGTTCCCATCCATGTGCTCTTACCACCATTTTCAAAGTACAATCTTCCAAGAATTGTGGAAAGTGCTTGGCAGGAGAGGACAAAGAATACATAAATTGATATACGAAGCCACCTTTTATAATTCTTCGGTTGAGGTATGGGAGAGGGCTTTCCACAGAGATTTTTAGTAAAGATATTATATAGATGGAGCTTTATATGCTCTCGTTGACCGTTGACTTGGAATTCTTGAAACCACTTATTTGGCGGCTCTAAGCAGACTTCTTCATACACACAACGTTGTTAAAACAGACCGAGTTTGGTGAAACGTTTTATTTTATTATCTCAGTCTAGTCTTATTGGCTAGTCTGTCCACTTAATTTAGTTTTTCACGTCTTTTATTTGTTGAAGTCATGAAGTTTGGCTTATTATCTGTTGAAATGGATTCATAAGTCAACAAAGATACAACAAGAAAGAGATACATAGAGTAAAACAATTTAAAAAAAAAAAAAGACAGAACATGTTTAGGATTTGATTCTTCGTAAAGGTTTATCCATTATATGCAGAATTTCATGGAGTGCTTGTTCATCTTCTCCTTACAGGTGCTGCGGATTATATGGATATCTATCTTGTATCTTGAAAGTGTAGCAAGAGTTGAGAGGCTGTCATTAACTGGATTATTGCTTTACAAGTTAAGGCTAGCTGATCAGTTAATTTGTTCTTTCAAAACAAGTACCCTCTGGCTCACTGTGTAGGGTGCCTGATACAAGCTGATTTTTGGGAAACTATCCTCGCATATATAGATTTTATTACAATTATTTAGGATATCTACAAAGTGTACAGTCTCTCTTTTATACAACAGTATAATAAGCCACATCTTTCATTGCATTGAACCCAAGTTTTAGATTAGATCTTCGTCAAATCAAAACCAACAATAATTCACTATTTTCTTAAGCCAAACCTACTAACTATTACAATGATGCAGAGATGGAAAGTTCACGCTGAGACTTTACTTGAGTTCATTATATATTGTAGGTTGGCTTCTCCTTGACCCTTGTGCTTCTGATGGGTCAGAGGATTCTGCTGTTGAGATTTCAAGACTTTTCTTCAAGTTTTTGTCATCAAGATAGTGTTGGTAGACATAAGACATGAAACCCCAAATAGCCAAGATCATAGAAATCACCTTTAACCCATTCACTTTATCACGGAAAATGACGACAGCCAGGATAGGAATCGCAGGCAGTCCGAAAACGCTTATAGAATTTGAGAATAGAGAGGAAAGCTCGAAGATCAGCCCCGTGCCACCAATGCTGAATACTTGCCAAGTAATAGCTGTCCACACTAGGTTGATAACGTAAGATAACTTTCCACGCTTGTAGTTATCCATTTCACTGCTCAAAGTTGCCCACTCTCCGCTGGCAAAAAGCCCCACCAAGCTAACAAAACTGGCCACTGCCCTCACATAAATGACCATATCCATAACTTCTGAGAATGTTTGCCTCTTTAAGACTTTACTGAAGGCTAGCTGTTTTAAGGATAAGGTTAGACCATACCCAGCAGAAGCACCAATGGTGCATATGAAACTTGTGACATACTGTGCTCTTGTTACTTTTTTGAAATTTGATTCTTCCTTATTATTGAAGGCAAGTAGGGTGGAAGATATAGTAAGGAGCAAAAGAGAGTTCAAAATGATTGGAGTAAGTTTTTGTGAGTTGAGGAAGTAAGAGAAGAAAGCATTGAAGGCTAACTGAGATGCACCGATAAGGGAGAAGGTAGAGACAGGTAGGTAAAGCAGTCCTATGGAGTAAAGATAGCAATCTCCTCCTAAAAGAACCCCAAGTGCTAAGTAAACTAATACACGGTTCCTAAGTGAGGCTTCTTTGCTATCTGTATGAGTTGGTGTATGTGTTTTGATTGAGAAGAGATAATATGGAAGTAGAACAGGAAAGCCTACAAGTTGAACTACAGTTGCTAGCCATTTGCTGTTTCCTCCATTGTCATAGTATAGTCTGCCTAGAATTGTAGCAACTGATTGTCCTGAAATGACAAAGAATGTGTAGACAAACACCCGGAGCCACCGTTTGTATGTGTTGGAGTGAGATACTCCTGTTTGGTTGCTACCGACCGAGTTAATTTCATCTTGAACCGTTTGATTTGGTTCTTTTCCCTGCTGAACTGGTAAGTGAGTGATCATATTGCACAAAAAAAAAAAACATTTAGTTTGTGAAATTAATTTTGTTGTCACTTGTAACCATAAAGTAGTTCTTCAGGAACTTGTTGATGCTTACCGATGACTTGTAGTTCTTGATTACCCTTCATGGTGGATGTGGAATACACCTCCTTGGAGATGGGGAAGGAGAATCTAAAGATGCTCTGAAGTATAAGGTATCTTAATTTTAGTTCTCTTGATTGCTAATAAGCTATACCAAGCTATATATTCAGTGATCAGGAACCGATCACTGGTAAGTATTCGTTGTAACATGTCCCCACATTAAGTAAATGTCCATCTATAAATATCTCATGTCTTAAATGTCATGAATTTAGTTTGTTGAAGATGCCACTATTATTGACCAAGAGATGAGTTAAGATATAATGTGTAACCACTATTCATTATGAAATTTCCAGTTGCATGTCAATGGAGAAACATCAATATTACTCAAAAGAAAAATGTAAACTTGTTCCGTGTGGCTATCTTTCTCTCATGATGAGACATGTGGATTGACTAGGAACACACTTTTGGTATTTCTCTGTCTAGTCTTAAAGTTTTTTTTTTCTCATCAAGATAATGCATCCCATTTGCATGGACCATTACAAAAATTACACAGCCAAGTTTTGTGTAGGATACATGCATGAACGTGTGCAGCATTTTATCAAATTTGTGAATCATCCTCGACATGGTTTGTGTGGCAAATCATCAACTTCTTTTCATCGAGGTAGTGCTGATAGACAAATGAAAGGAAGCCCCATATAGCCAAAACGATGGAGAAGATCTTCATTGCATCCATTTCATCATGGAAAACAATCACTGCCACAACAGGAACGATAGGCAATCCAACAGCATTTACAGAATTAGAAAACACTGAAGACGACTCAAAAATCAAACCCACAAGACCAACGGTGTATACTTGCCAAGAAACAGCTGCTGAGGCCAAAGTCACAACATACCACACTTGCCCCATTTTGTAGTTCTTCATCTCACTCGGCAACGTTTTCCACTCTCCACTCACAAAAAGGCCAATGAGAACAACAATACTTGCGACCAGAGACTGGTAGATAGTCATGGACATGACTACTGAAGACGATGTATGTTTCTTGAAAACCTGTCTAAAGAGAAGTTGTATCAAAGATAGAAGTAGTCCAGTACCAGCAGAAGCACCGATGGTGCATATAAACCCGATCACATATTGGACTCTAGAGACATGTGTTGTTGTGTCTTGAGACTCGGTGTTGACCACGAGGAGGGAAGAGGAAACAGTAAGGAGAAACAAAGAGAGGACTATGAAAGGAGTGAGCTTCTGCGAGTTAAGGAAGTAGGAGAAAAGGGCAGTGAAGGCTAACTGTGAGGCAGAGATGAGGGAGTAAGTGGAAACAGGCAAGTAGAGTAAACCAATTGCATACAGATAAGTATTAGCACTTATTAGAAGTCCAGTGCACATGTAAGCTGATGCAAGGGTTGTGAAGGAAGGGGACTGATTGAAGTTTGTATCTGTTGATTTCAGTTGTCTGGTTTGGAAGAAGAAGCTGAAGATAACCAAAACTGGGAAGCCAATGAGTAAGAGAAGTGTTACCACATGTGCTTTCCCCACCGTTTTCATAGTACAGTCTACCAAGAATTGTAGCAAGTGGTTGGCAGAAGAGCACAAAGAACACATAGATGGAGAGACGGAACCACCTTTTATAGTTCTTGGTTTGAGGCATCGATGATGATGATGATTCAGTTGCCTCATGATGTATCAGGTTTGCTTCTAAGTTCTGGTCGCTTGAAACATTGACACTCATGATTATAAGATTTTTTGCAAAAACTTTAAACAAAGTCTACACTACCAGTTGCTTCTTCCTTACCATTGTCATAAAGTTCTTGAATTCTGTCCATGAGAAATTAAGGACATAACAAATTTCATTTTTAATTATCTTTATTGGTTGTTATTTGTTTGAGACCTCTCTTTTTTTTTTTCTTTTTTTTTTGAACACACAACTTGATAGTTTATTATTAGAGTCACATACCCCCCACAAAAGTTGCATTATTAAACGTGACATGACTTTTGGAATTTTATTGAACAGATAACAAGGACAGCACATCAGAGAAGCATCATTATCTAGTAGGCTCTTGTTGACATTTTGAGTTTAACTTTTCTGCTCCCATTTAACTTGGAGAATTCTTGAAATGGCGACTCTTAAGGAAATTTATTTATTTTTGCAGTAATCTACTGTATTTTTTTTTTAACCAAGAGGTGTATTGGACCAAATAATTCTCTTAGGTCCAAAATATATATTGTTTTATATACCAAGATAATATATATTGTTTTAGGTGCAAGTCTGGGCGCTGTCGTCTCTACCGTCTAGCCCGTCCTTATTTCCTTTGCAGAGCACATATGCAAACATGGACTATCTCTTTTGGAGGAAGGATGCCATAGGTGGACCGGTAATTGATATGGATCCCTTTCCATGGCTAATTTGGTACATCTGGAAGGCTCGGAATGACAAATTGTTCAAAGGGATTGATAGAGACCCTTTGGAAACAGCCCGGTATGCAGAAAGTGAATGCCTTGCCTGGTATCAAGCTAATGAACAATCGTCATTGCCCTCTCAAATCGACATGATTGATGACACTCAGACCGTAAGTCTAGGGGATATCTGTCTGGTGGATGGTTCCTGGACCTCCACGGCTCCTTATAGCGGATGTGGATGGGTTTGGCAGGACAGTACGGGAAAAGGACAGCTGATGGGTTTGCGTAATTTTGATAGAGTGGAGTCGGCTTTGCACTCTGAGCTGGAAGCGCTGCGGTGGGCAATGGAGAACATGCTTCAACATTCGCCATGTCAGAGCTTTGGGACGGATTGTAAGGATGTGATATCAATGCTAAGGAAGCCACAGGACTGGCCAAGCTTCTCAACGGAACTGGAAAAGCTAGCTACCTTGCAGATTT